TTCTTCTTCTTCTTCTATAATAGATTCAGATTCATTAATTATTAATTGATTAGAATAAGTATCATTTATAAGATGTAAATATATTAAAAGAATAAAAAGAATAAATAAAATTAATAAATATCGTAATTTAAAACATTTTCGTAAACGTAAAATGAATAAAAGCCATAAAGTTGGCTGTTGCCCGACAATATTCGTCGGGCGTTTCATTATTAATTATCGATTGATATGCATTATTTATTGAATTTTTGTATTATTTATTCTAAACATAAGAGAACAATAAATTCAATTGAGAATATGAAAAAAAAAAAAGAACTATGAATACAATACAATTCAATCAGACAATAGAGTCTAGAAGTGCATTGAACTATGCAGTTAAATTAACAGAAAGAAAACGACGACGACACTTCTAACATTGACATTGTATATATATGAAGAAGAATGAAACGAAAAATATTAAAATTTACTTGATAGTAAAATTAAAATGTAATAGTTTATGAAAAATAAACTTTATATGATTAAATCTTTTTTTTTTGTTGTTATCTATGATTTCAAAGAGAATATAGATTTAATTTAGACTTTGATGTATGATGTTCATCTTTTGATAATTATTAATTTGTTATATTCAAGATAATGATGTCAAGTATTCGTGAATGATAAGTCAATAAAAATAGATCACGAAACATGAATCGTACTTATTGTCACGCGATTATTTCTTTATTAACTATGTTAATAATAAACGCACTTGCGTTTATAAATTTCCTATCACAAAATCTGAGTATTAAGTTTATACTTTGAACCTTGTAGTTTTTTTTTTCAGATACTTCCGATCGGAATCAACCATACATCATGCACCTTTCTAGGACTAAAAAATGTAAAGCTTACTCATTCTATCATCGATCTATGACTTGTCATTAACACTATTCTAGTATTAACTATGCTCTTTATAGTGAAGCAAAGTCAGTTTTACATATATATACATAAAAGATGAAAAGACAAGAAAACAAAACGACAATAGTTACATATTCAAACTGCCAGAGTATATAATTATATATGTAAAAGAATAATGAATTCGATATGAGAAGTCAATGAAACTAGAACAAGTTTAAATAAGATTCATTTGATAAAACATAAGTCATTCGGTAATTAAATAAGTAACTACTATTATTCTAAACTCTATTATTTATATTTATTTATTTCAAAAAAAAAAAAAGTAAAGATGAAACTCTATAAAATGTCATATCTAAAGTTTATTATTTAGATTTTATTAACTAGAAATTTCTTTTTTTTATTCTATCAACTACAAACAAAAATGTGACAAGATAAAAAGAAATTCTATCATATAAAATGATAATATATTTCTTTAGGACTAATCTTCTGAATGTTACTTAATAATAATGATAATTTTTCTTTCATCTTTTCGAAATAATTAACGAAAGAAATTAATACATGAGTAAATATTTTCTTTTTATTGAATAGGTTTCTTATATTGAACGAATAACGAATGTATCGATAAAAAGAAAAAAGTTTTATTTGAATACGAAGCCATAATCGTACGATTATCGACATTATTATATATGTATCGTTTACATGCGACAAAACAATAAAAAAAAAAAAAAGAGAAGAAAACGAGTATCGGATTGTTGAGAACGACACATCGGGAAAGAATTTTCAAGTCTCATCAACTCAAGAAATGAATGACTAGTTGTCGAACGGAGAAAACTCTCTACATCGTCTCTTCCTTCTTTTTCCTTTTTTTTGCTTCCTTTTCATCATGGATTTTTTTCTTTCAGTGTTCTTCGGTCTAGTCTCTTATTCGGAAATAACAAACTTTGTCTAGTTTCTATTCTATGATTATCTCGAGCTTATCATTCTTAAGAAGAGAAAAAAAAATTCATTCGCTGATTTAGCCTTCACTTGGCCATGCCTTAAGCATATAAAGAGTCAGTCCTTGACACTTTACAATAACACCGAGCAAAAAAAAAAATACAAGGGCTATTCGCATATATAGTCTCATCTAGACTTTATACATGTTAAATACATTAGGATAAACATTCTTTCATCTATGTCTTATTTGTTATAAAACTACGAACAATAGATCAAAAGAAAAAAAGAAAACAACCTGATATTAAAATATCTACCTGTGTACTTCATGTACTAATATCTACATGTAAAATAAAAATATCTTTAAGAGTAAATCAATATGAAGATATTAGACTATAAGTTAGGATAATGGATTAGTTTTACAGTAGTAAAACAAAGTAAGAATGAGCAGCAACTTCAACATTTAAATAGAATAGCAAAAAGAAAAGTATTCAGCATAGAGGTATGCAATTTTCTCTTCTTACACTTTCTCAACAGTTTAAAAAGAAAGATTGTCATAAGTATAAATATATGTCGTGATACTTACGTATTATATTAAAAGTATTAAAGAAAGGACTAACTAAGAACAAAAAAAAAAAGAAAAAATTCTTCAATGTAACAAACATTAGTTATTATAACACTCATATAGGTGTGGATATAGACAAAAATTAAATTCACACAACATACATTTTCTATTAGATACAAAACAATGAAATAAATTTTTTTAGTTACATAAGAGACAGAACACATCCTTACATATTTGTTTAATTAAGTAAGCAAAAGAATTTTACATTTTTCATTTTATCTAAATAGTAATGTATATAATAATGATTTTGTTTATATAAATATTCGTAACGAATATTTGAAATTATTTTTTTATGAACAAACAAAAGAATATATCAAAATTTTAATTCTCTTCACTAAGAACATATAAACTTAAGAAATAATATACAAATATATAATTCTTTACACGAAGAAAATATTCTAATTGTAATAAATATACTGATTTGTTAATGTGATGTGAATGTAGTCGTGAGCGATTCTAAAAGCACGAAGTGAAAGTATCGAGATTGAAACATTACTATTTTCTTTCATCATATTCCGTTTTTGTGTAAATAACATCCAAAAAAAAAAGACGAATTTAATCAATCTTGGAACTTACTTCATTTCGAAATAATTGAAATGAAAAATTGGCAAAAATTAATCGACACTCTTTTTATTTTGTGTGAACAGCTTGACTAGAGATCCCACTTGATATAACTTCGAGAGTCTTATTTACTCAATGATTCTATCAGTGTCCAATAAACTATTTTTATATCTAGTTGTATAATAAATTTCGAAATTCAAAACATTTAAAATATCTTTCAATTGAATATACTATTTTTATATCATTATTATAATTTCATTTCTTATAATTAATTTTATTTATTTCAATCAAAAATCCAAAAATAGTTTCTAATAATTTTCAATGAATGTTACTCATGAGAATAGTTCAATTTCATATGTACATATCAAGAAAAGATAAAAAAATTGTTTTTATTAGAATAAATTGAATAATATATAAATTATAGAGTTTCATATACAATCTTTATTCTTTTGAGAATAAAAGTATTATTAAATATTTTCATTCTTCAAAAATATTCTGAATACAAAAATGTCAAATTTAACTTTTTTCCTTGTAGAACACTTTTATCTAACTAAGATTCAAAAATTCTTTTTTTTGAGAGTTTATAAAGTTTCGATGCAAAGTATTTATATTTAATAAAGCTTCTTTATATCATAATACACAAACAAAATCTAAAAACTAATTTTTATTCAACAGATGATGATGTAGGATATGTTTTTAAAAGTTTATTTGAAAGCCAAGCTGGTTGACGATTTCGTGCAAATTGTTTTACAACTTTATCATCATCACCACCACCTTTAAGATTGGCTTTTTCAATAGTATTTGTTTCCTATAATAGAAAATAAATATTAAAAAAAAAAAACTATATAGAATTTATTCAAATACCTGAAATTCATTTACACATGCATAAAAATCAGCTACTTCTTTTTCACATGCAAAATTATCATATTCATGTTTTTGTAAACAAGTTAACATCTAAATAATACAAATTATTAATTTATTTTTATTAAATATTTTTACTTACAATATTCATTAAAGGACCACATGTATATTCTAAAAATAGAGAAAAAATATCAAATCTTATTTAATGCATCGTATTCCGTATATGTGTTTACTCTTGTATTTCAAAACTCTTTTTTGTGTACTCAAAAAGTGAGTACATTCTAAAATCGGTCAGTGTCCGGCCGTTTACACGATAACTTTTGAAAGAAGGAGACCTGGTCAAGTTCCCTGGAGTCGGGAACTCAAAGGGTGTGGGTAGGGGTGGAAAATTGCCGTTAAGTTCTCAGATAACTGGTAACCGTTGCCCGTCCCCTAGGATTCTCAAGTCCTATTTTTTTCTCAGAAAGTCTGTTTCTGCATTAAAAAAAAAATAATTTTTTTTCAAAAATAGGACTTGAGAACCCTAGGGGACGGGCAACGGTTACCAGCTACCTGGGGATGTAACGGCAACTTTCCACCCCTACCCATACTCTTTGAGTTTCCGACTCCAGGAAATTTGGACACTGCTGTCGTCAATTATTTTTTACTTTTTGAAGTACACATAATACTCGGATTTAAATTCGAGGTTTTCACATTTATTATATACCTGATGCACTTGTTCCACCACCACGAACATAATCACGTAATCGTGCAGGTAATGCTTGACGAAGTTGAAATTGATTAAGACGATAATTAGGTGCAATAATAACTCTAAATAAAAAAAAAAAAAACATAATATAATTTATTTATCTAATTTAGAAATATCATTTTACCGTGGTCCAGATTTTGGTGGTTTATATTTTAAAAAACGTAATTGAGAATCAAATTTACCCATCTAGAATATATATATAAATAAACAAGATTTCTTAATCAATTATTTTTCTAATGAAGAAATATTATTATTAAAAAGCCAATCGCTTGGTATATGAGCACCATGTTCTATTGGCCAAGAATTATGTTTAGGATAGAAACGAGAATGATTACATGTTAAACATGATACAATTATACCTGTTTTATGTTTATCTTAAAAAGCAAAAAAAATTTTTTTTTATTAATATATATATATAAAATTAAACTTACTAAAACAAACTTTTGCTGTTAATGGTGACCATAATATCATATCACAACATGAACAAAGTAATCGTTTCATTTCCGGATGTCTAATCAAGATTATATATAAAGAAAAAAAAATTTATTGAATATATATATCTTAAATTAATATATGTTACAATCGAATTTGTTTCTTTTGAGCATGTATACGTATTTGTTTAATAAGATGTCGTACCAAATTAAAATCAGCAGTTGTTAATAAAACTGTATGTGCAGTCTTATAGAAAAAAAAAAACAAATAATTAATATCTTTTTTATCGATAACTATGTCTTCTTTTTTTTTTTTTATCTCGTCTCACTTGAAATAAATATGAAAGATGATTAGCAGCACTGATATTTGTTGATGATGTTAAATAACCTGTACGATTTTTTTTTGATGATTTATTTTCTTTACTAGCCATCTGCAAAAACAAAATAGAATATTAATCAATAATTCTCGGATTTTCTTTTTCTTTAATGAATATATAATAATAGTAATAATAATGATATGAAGAGAGAAAAAAAGAAAACAAAGAACAGATGCTCTATTTGAATAAAAAGAATATCATAACCCAAACAACCCAAAAAAAATAAAAACAAAACGAAACAAGAGACATGTTAGAGACCATACACAATAAGACAAAAAAGAACAAACCATTGACATGTATTGAAAGGAAAAATTCTACTTTACCTAGGAAAAAAATGTTTCTTTTCTTTGCTTGTTTTTTTTTTTTTTTTTATTCATTTCTAAGTGAAACATACAACAAAATAAAGGGAAGCTAAACATGCATAGAAAAAAAAAAACAAGAAACGAAATGTAAATGTTGTTATTTTTTAGCATAGAAAAAAAGAAAAACATCAAGAAATTTGATCATAGGATAACAAAACCAATATGCCTGGCTAAGTTTTCTTTTAATGATACGTAATAACAATATTGTTGGTAAACAAAAGAAGAAGAAGAGAAAAAAAAACAAAGCAAATAACCAATGGAATATAATAAGAAGAAATATAAAGTTCAACGAAAATTAAATCGTCATGTTTAATCGAGATTTATGCAGGTAATGACAATTTCTTTCCTTTCAAAACTAAAAAAAAAAACAAAATATTAAAAATATATTTTTTTTTCTTCTTTTATTTCAATACCTCTAGTTATGTAAAGATAGAAGAAGTCACAATAGAGAACTGTTTGAACAACACCAGATATAATTGAAATCCAATCAATAAAATTTTCCGTATAATAACGATAAATCCAATTAAGAATATAGAAAAATCGATAAATACCCAATGCAAATAAATAATGACTTGTGATTGTTTCAGCTTCACCTGTTTTACTAACCATAAATAATTGAGGAAGTATAGCAACAGATTCAAGATAAATTGAAAATGTCCAAAGAACCTTAAATTATTCATATATATATATATATTTAAATAAAAAACAAAACTATTTACTTCAAGTACTGAAAATTCATGATTCCATAATAAAGCAAGTACAACTGAAGGTAAAATTAAAAATTCAATACGAAATGTATCATGATTACGATCATATGTTGCTTTAAATTTACGATAAATTAAATAAAATGTAAAATATGTTGAAACAAGATAAATTATTTTCATAATTGAATTATATAAACTAATAAAATGAGTAAATAAATCAAGATAACGACATGTAAATACTATAGCATAGAGTAAAACACTCTTGCCAGATAAACCTTTAATTGAAAAAAAAAAAAAACAATAATTACAATTTAATAAAAATAATAACAAACATTATAATTTTTTTACCAGCACATGAACGTGTTTTCCAAATTTTAAGTAATAATATAATAATAGCTCCCAAATGGGAAAAATCCCCTAATAGACGAAAGATATTCATTTTAGATAAATCTTAACTATTCTAATTTTGTTTTAGGATAATAATATGCTTATCTAAAAACTAAAACTTTTAGTTAAGAAGTATCAGATGTTACAATCAATGTTATACGGAATTTGTAAACATATTCAAATAAATGTATTGGTAGGAGTACGTGGCCTAGAAAATCGATATTATTAACCAATTAAAACTTTTTATTATAGATATCGTTTTAAAATGATATGAAATATTCAATAATATATATAAATTTTCTTATTCTATTATTTCATCTATATATTAAAGTTAAAATGACAATGATTTAGTTGTTTATATAGATGTCGCTATATATCAAACATGTTTTATGTTACTATGATGATGAAATTCTTTAAACATTTGTGATTAAATCATAAAAAATTCAATCTTTTAATATAATTTCAATTTTTTACTACCGTCCAATGTATATCAAAAAGTTCTAAGGTTAAATCCATCTGGATGTGTCCAAGAAAAAAACAACGTAGAAGTACGGATACAACGGAAATTTCTCAAAAGTGGCACTTTCCATGGTTAAAACTCTGAGTAAAAATATGTAACGTAAAACATTTCCAACATACAATATCTATCTTTTAAAGCTATGCAATAGTCAGCTCATTTATTGTTTTATTGATATTCATTCGTTATTTGCAATATAACTCCTGTCGATAATGCCATTCAGTGTTTTTTATATCTCCGTTACTAAGCAGCTGAAGAAAAAAGAGTATGATACTTATTGTCATTGGTTGCTAACGAAGGATTATATCCAACGACCTTTGGTGCTAAGTGCCGAAGTCTATAAGGTAAGTGAAGTCAATAAACTTCAACTGAAAATTTAGAATTTCAATCACACTAGAAAATCAATGACTTATCTGACATTTAAATTTTTCTTTTTTTCTTTTTTTTGTATGAAAGTATATTAAAAATAAATATTCAATAGAATCGATACAAAATAAGATTTAATTAAAATTTTATAGTGCAATTTCAAAACAATAATTATTGATACTACAATCATGCTTTTAGGATCTATATATAAATAATATTGAACATCATCAAATGTCAATAATCTTGATTTTCTTTTTTATCTTCGATGCAATGACAACATAACCCAGAATAAACATACAATAAGGAACACAAAAGAGAACGCAAAAAGAAAAAAAAATAAACTGTGGAGAAAAAGAACAAAATAATAATAAATATAACAAGACATCATGGTTTCTTTTAATGCGCAGATCGTGTGAAAATACACACATATACATACACACATATATATATATATAAAGAAAATGAGGAAAGTTAACACCCACAAATAAATAAAAGAAAAAGAAGATTTTCCTAATGATACAAATGAATAATATCATCATGATCAATTAATTACCAAGCTGATGCTTCAGCTCGAGTTTCTTTTAATGTTCTATCATTATTTGTTGATTGTTCATCATCATCATCATCATCATCATCATTATCATCATCGTCATTTGTATTATCAAAATTATGATCAGGTCGATTTGGATTTGGTTGTAAATTACCATTATTGAAATCATATTGTTCATCATGTATTTCATGATGATGATGATGTTCATCATTTAAATCAAGATCAGGCATAGGAAATCGTAGAATAGCAGCAATACCCGTTAATTGACCTAATCGTTCACCTGATGCATGCATACTAAAAATAAGAATTTTTTTATTAATCAAATTTTATTAATAAATTTACCTAGAAAATAATCGTACAATACCACCACTTTCTTTAATTGAATCAACAAGTTGAACATAACGTCGTCGTTTAGTAAAATCAATATTTCGAAATAGTTCATCGGTTATCAAAAGATCTAAATAAAGAAAAATAATAACACCTGAGAATTTCTAAAAGCATCATGTCGAATTTGATAATCTATCCAGAATTACAAAAAAAAATCAAATACACCATGTTATAGAGCAAATCGAAGTATATATATCACAAATGTTGTTTTCATAAGATTTTGAAGGAACCAAACTGAATTTACTGGTAGACGCCCATAGATTCAAACGCTCATCAAAAACTACTATCCGTAGAAAACGATAGTGAATCATCGAAAAATCGCATTTTTTGTCCTATCGGAGATGCTGAGTATATGAGTTTTTGAGAGGGGGGGCAAGCGCGACGAAGATACCCCCCCCCCCTCCAGGGCCAAGTAAAATCATTGCAAAAATTGTCTCAAAACAAAAATTTTTCACTGCTAATATTATTGCGTGATCAGTCGACTGCAGCCGTAAAATTAAATTTCACAGACATACTGCAAAAATGGGGGGAGGCTACCCCCAACATCGAGAGCGGTGATTTCCAAGCCCGTGAAAAGCGCTACAAAACTGTATATAAGAAAATTATTTTTTGCAAACATTTTCGACTGATACCCAAGCTTACAATAGTCAATGCGCTTTCATTCGATGATCGCCTATCAGTAAATCCAATCTGATTTCCTCAAAATCTTATGAAAACAAGATTTTTTTATATACCATTCGACACGTCTCGACTTGCTCTACAACATAGCATGTTTTGTTTTTTTTGATGATCGCTTATTTACATTCAATAGCTTGTGATTGATTTGCTTTTTCAACAACTTCTAATCCATAATATGCTTTATCAGGTTCATCATTTAATAGATGCATAAATTGATCAAGTAATTTCATTTCTTCAGCAGCTTTTGTATCCGATAAACGATTTAATACTAATGGATCTTGTAAAATTTCTGTTAATGCATGTTTAAAACCATTACTTGAATGTAATAAAATAAATTTATTACGATTATCTAATAAATGTCTTTCATCATCACGTGTTGCTTTATTTAACATATATTGATAAAATTGATCTTTAATAAAACCAGGACTAGCTATAATAACAGCTTTAACTATTTGAAAATTAATATGTTTTAATATAGCTGATATAATTGAATCAAAAAATTTTTCCATTCCACGATCATGTTGTGCACATAAACCTTTACGTTTACGTGGTATTGTATGTTCAATTTTTTGTCTATGAATTGTTAAATGTTCAGTTATTAAACATAAATTAGCTAAACCTTCATGCATAACAATAGCTGCAACATCAGCTTGATGTGCTGGATTACATGCCATATCAACACGATCTAATGCTATTGAATCCCATTCATGTTTTTGTAATGTAAAAGCATTATGTAATTCTAAATCTAATGTATGATATGAACCTATTTTCAAAAAAGAAAAACAAAAATATATATAAAAAGATTTTTTTTTTTTATTACCTTTTTTAACAAATTCATTTTCTTCAATTGTACGTCCTTTGACACGTAATGCACATGCAACACTATCATAATCAACAGAAACAACTTCAATAGTTAATGTCATTCGTTTTTTTGTTGTTGTTGATGAACCTGTATCAGTTGTTTGAACAACTTTTCTTACAGTTGATGCACGTAGACTATCACCAACAGCAATTAAATTATATGCATGCCACATATCTTCTTGTTCTTCAGGTTCAAGTTTAAGTTCACCACTTGAACCACGATCAATATTTTTTTTTATTAAACGCATAATGAAATTTTGTTTTTTTTTTTTTAAATAAGTATGAATTGTTTTTTTGTATTTAAATCATATTCATTATAAACGTACTACGCAATAATGGAGATATATATATGAATCTAAAAAAAAAGAAAAAGAAAACGTACTCCTGTTTTTATTATTGTTCTTTCGAAAGTATATTACACGTTAGAATGATTCATGCTTTCTTTTTTCCAACTGTATGTTTTTCTTGGTCAAAATATTTTACCAATAGAATCATACATAAGATTGTAATAGTGTTAAGGTCCTATATATGAAGTAAGATAAACTAAACTTGAGTCCATATTATATTTTTTTTCCTATATGTGTAATAATCATTAGATGTCGTCAGCTGACAATGAATTATATTACAAGAATTTTATACGATCTGCAGGCATGTACCGAAGGAGGGAAGAGTATGGGGATCGGGCCTAGTGGCGTAACCAGGGGGTGGCCAGATGGAGCTAAGCCCCACCACTGAGCGAAGCTGCGTCAGCTAAACACTTTTACGAGCCTCATCACCGACTTAGAGCTCGACCAGCTGAGCCTCTCCACCATTAAAATCCTGGTTTCGCCACTAATCACCCTCCCCCCCTCCCTCAGGACTGAAAACGCCTGTAGGGGGTACAGGTAGACGTTTTTTCCCAAGTGAATTTTCTCATGGTGGGCTGCCTCTCATAGGTTTGGGCCCTTCCCTCAGAAAATTTTTGGCTACGTGCCTGATGATCTGTTTAGTGCTCTATTATGTTTGTATGTAATTCTATCTAGGTACATAAAAACGAGTCCATTTTGATACGGCTAAGATCATCATTTTTAAACAAATCAATGTTCGATAAAGTGAACTGTATCGTATATTGTAAAATATTAATATTTCTTTTCGATATGTTTTCCTTATTTTTTCAGTTGAAGTTAAGTTTTCTTTCAACAGTCAAAGAAATTTAATCTAGCAATTTGTGTGTATATTAAAGGTAGTATAGGAATGAAAAGAATTTATTTTTAGGATAAAGCATTTAGATTTATTGACACAGATGTTATTTTTCACTTGTATTTAAGATAAGAATAAGAAACAAATTCTCATGCTTTGAAATCCATATTAGGTCTCTGGTTTGATTCAAACATTATAATCACAATAAATAACTCAAAACGTTTGCGGTTTTCTCTTAATTTTCCTAACATTCAATTGAAAATATTTTTCAAAGTCTTTTCTATTAAACTAGTTCTTCACTTACATTGAAATTGAAGCTTAAGAAAGGACGATTAAATGCCGATGTTTTTTTTAAACCTATTCTTGTTGATTTAATAATGATTTTTGCTCAATATGTTTGATGGAAAAATGTATTCGAAAACTTTTTTTTTTGTTATAAGGAATTCACAACGATACAAAGAAGTTTGATTCAAAATTTTTGGTTCTATGAGAGTTTCTTTTGTTAAATAAATCGAAAAATCATCTCTGATACTTACCTATACAAATGAACGAAGTACATATAATTGTGCTTGTACTTATTTAATAAATCAATTTTATCATTTTGTTTCCAGCAAAAGATAAAAAACAGTAACGATATTAAATGATGAGCATTTCGAAAACCATTTTGTTTTTTGAGTATATTCTTCAAACGTTGCTCTTTTCAATGTATAAATAATCACTGATTTATTTTACTAAAATGTTATTCTTTATAATAAAAATAGTTATATCCAGTATGAAATCGAATTATCATTTTTCTTGTTAATTTATAAATTGATAATCGTAGTATAACATTCAAATGATAATTTGATTAGAAAAGAACTAAAGACTATAAATATTCAACACAGTATAATACTTTGTATACATACAGAAAATTTGTTACATAAGATAAATGCTATATGATAAAAGAAAAATCATTTTCTTGCTTTCATTCTTATTGTACATCATCTTTTTGTTAGTAGGAGTGCGAACTAGAAATAAAAACAAAATATCATCAATCATAAAACATTGAGTCTTAGACAAAATTTTGATGAATAAATAATTAAACAGAAGCAAATACATACATTGATTATATGAATAAGAACAATATTTTACTTTGCTTTTTAAAGTTCTGAATAAAAAACAAAACAAACTTTAATATTTTACTTTTCGATATTTTCACTATCAATATTTTGTTACTTCTTGCACATAACAAATAGGTATGTATGATCTATTCAAACGTTAAATATTTGTATCTACTGGTATATTCTTAATATTAAAATATTTTCTTTTTAATCGATGCATGTATATTGAGATATAATATTCATGAGTCAGTACTGTTTTCTTTGAAATGTCATTCGTTATTGATAAATTAATCATATGATTTGATTGAAGAGAAAAAAAGTGAATAAATAGATTTTTTTTTGTCGAAATGTTAATGTTATCGTTTCTGTTTATCAAGATATAGATTAAGAAAAAAAGAATTAGAGTAAACATAGTAAAGTACAAATACTTGAAACTGCGTAAAATAATAGTAGAAAGACGCAGAAGGAAGAATACTACAGATATGCATTTTAATAGAGAAATGACTAAAATATAACGTCATTGACTGAACGAGAGAACCTTGGCGATGCGCCAAAAGAAGCGAAGGAAAAGAAAAAAACCGCGAGAAAGCTCTTGTCCAGATCAAACAGCGCATACATACTCACATTGGCGACACAATTTGTAAGGGTGAGCGGGAGTAGCATTAACTGACGACGTAATATTTTTTTTTTCTGTCGATGCGTTCTACGTATATATAAAAATAAAATTAATCTTTGTTCCTTTCATTGATCCGTACATTTCTTTTCTATTTTCTCATATTAGATCATCGAACCACTTTACATGACTGTTGTTTTCTTCTCATTTTATAAAAGATAATTTTTTGTATTACAGCTATGGCAAAAACAACAATAACATCTATTATGTTTACAATTAATCAAAATATAATGAATTTTTCTTGTATGAAATTTCGACAAATTGAACATGGACGTATTGAAGTAGTATATCCCAGTGCAAATTTAATAAATAGTAATGAAAGAATTGATGGATATCAAAATAGTAAAGATCTGTGTAAGTGAAATTCTTCAGTTTTTACATAGACGCTGCATATTATACTTTCTAAGAGAAGCAATAAGTTTTTTTTTAAACAAATTACAGGGTGTCCCAAAAGTAACAAGACAAGGAAAAAAGTTTGAATATCTCCATTAGGGCTCGACTAAATGGGCTCAATTTTTTATCAAGGATAGAGGCATCTGCACACTCCAAATCCATACGAACAAGGTGAATGAGAACCTTTGTTAAGTATCACTATTGACCTCAACAATAAAATTTTTACTTTGTCACTGGTAAGAAAAAACCAATATACAGGATAGTGCAAAAGTCACTTTATCGAAAAGAAAATTAAATATTTCCATTACGGCTCGAGCAACCGAGCTGATTTTTTTACCAAAAATAGAGGCATGCTTATATTTCAAATCCATACAGACAAGCTTAGTGAGGACCTTTGTTAAGTATATTTTTTTATTTTCCTGTCTGTGAAAAAGTAAAAATTTTATTGTTGAGGTCAATAGTGATACTTAACAAAGGTTCTCATTCACTTTGTTCGTATGGATTTGGAGTGTGCAGATGCCTCTATCCTTGATAAAAAATTGAGCCCATTTGGTCGAGCCCTAATGGAGATATTCAAACTTTTTTCCCTTGTCTTGTTACTTTTGGGACACCCTGTATAATTAAAAATATTTTAGTTTAAATTTAATATTAATCATTTTAGTTATTTTCAACATAATTATTTTTTGTTTTCGATACAAATTCATTTACAATAACATCTGAATTTATTTTAAAACTATGTTTAATATAAACTGGATAGTCTCTCTAGACATCTTGAGGTGTGCGTGTGTGTTTGTGTATAGAAAAGATAGACACGTATATTCTCAATATATTATTACTGATCGTGTATCATGAGTTTCATCTAATATAATTGTTTGATTTATTTTCATAATAGTTGTACTGTGACATGAATTACGCTTTTCTTGTAATAATTCACAACACTTTATAAGATTCAAAAGAACACAAAATGTTGATCAGCATTTTTTTTCCACCGTACACAAAATGAGAAAACAAGAGTGGTTTTTATGTTTCTCCATTCATATGGCTTCAGTGTCTATATATAATAAAGATAGATGTCAGATAATATGTGACAAACAAAGTGATTAAAATAAAAGTACAGCAAAAAGAACGAAGATCAAGGGTACTTTTGTGAAATTTTATTTATCATTTAAGGTGATTTTGTGGAAGAACGATTAAATTCCGTTTCGTTTTTAAATGTGAGTAAAATCATTTTTATCTGATCAAACGTAGTTTTCAATTTTTTGTTTTATCGAAGAATGATGGTGAAGAACAACATGAAAAATTAGCACTGATGATAGTCAACAATGATTCACATTCCAGTGTTGATATTTCAAGATTATCTGATGAATTTTATGAACGAAATATCACTTTAGCTATTGTTGCTTGTGAAACACCTCCTTTCGAAATTTGGGATTTATATTGTACATCAGCTCGTAATACAGGTATATAAAAGTTAATGCTTCATGTTCTCTTCAAGTCTATACGTCAAATTTTTTTTCTATTATTTTAGGAGGTGACTATATGCTGTTATCAAATGCTCCACGTGTTTTATCACGTGTGATTTCGTCAGTTATTAATGAACAAGATACTCTTCGTCAGGTGTTTCTTCACATCGATACGGAAAATGCTCAACCTGTTGCAACCGGTGTTGGTCATGTAGAAGCAGAAGGTGGACCAATCGATAATATGTCAGATTTTGATTTTGATCATGGCTTGTCTTTTTGATCCAGATATGAACAATTCCATTTTTTTAACTCATGATTGGTTTAGTTATTTTTAATGCTATTTTTTAACCAAAATCTACAATTAATTCCGTGCATTTTGTTTTTTTTCTTCATCTAATGATTAAAATAAACATTCTAAAAGATCAATACTATAATTTTATTCATAGAAAGTATGACTCATTAATCACATATATTAGAATACTTCTCTTACTTTAAGTAAACTCAAATTCAATCTCGTATAACGTTTTAAATAAAAACAAAACATGAACAGTGAAATGACAATATTGCAGAATTGAAAAACTTAGAACCTATTTCACGAAGAATCGAACTGAAAAACTACCGAAACTCATTTGGTCATTTTTGAAGTTCTGAGTTATTTGTTAAGTGTGGGTGTAGAAATATAGAAGACCTTACATCTACACCTTTTCTTTTTAAATTACGAAACGAAGCATTATTTTTGTAGTAACTTAAGAGTAACTATTTATTTCTCAAAGTATTTCTTAATTTCTTTCAATATATTTTTCTTCATTTATTTTTATTGATGTTTTTTGCTTTTCAGAATATATAGTTTTTTTTTGTTTTGCTATTGAGTTGTTTTATTAAAAACAGAATATATACTCATGAATAATTTTACATAAGCTATGGATACTCCGGAATAGTCGTAGCATTTTCTAGCGTGAGTACTTTATTAGTACTTGCTTATGAGTACCTTCGCTAGGGATATTGATTCTGTAGTTGTGAAAACTTCAGCCATTCATTGTTGATTTGTACTAGGAAATAATATTTATTTCAAAGATAAGTCTTTTTAGATATATTTTCAATAATACTAACATGAAAAGAACGAAAATATTACATTTTTACAATGGTTAAGTTTTGATGGTATTTAAAATGAGAACGTCAAATATTTATTTCTGCAGAATAACTTTATTACGGCGATGACATCGAAGAGAGAAAAAAAGCATTTCACTCAATATATCTGAAAAAGCTTTCTAATTTCTCATAGTTACTGTCACTTTGATTAACTGCCTTTAATTAGCGAACGACTCTATAGTGTTTACAAAACGTATGGGATATTTCAAAGTTTTAAGCAATAATTTGGAGACTTTTGTTTTGTGTTAGCGTAAAAAATAATAATATGAAACGTGAAAGATATTTGCGACAGCAAAAAATTGAGCAGCAATATGTTTAGCACAGACTGTTATACCATTTAAGAAATAAAAATATATGAAGTCACATAATGTTATACAAGTGAAGTATATCTTTCTGTTTTTTTTCTTATCATTTTCACGTAGAACTTACTTTTTTCAGTTATCGGTAAAATATCTTTTTCTTCAACAGATTATCGTTATCAAAGGTAAAAGAGTGCAGATCAAAACATTGAAATAACGATTCAGTTAGCATTTAAAGATGCGGCGGTATCGCTGTGTGACTATGTGGTTGAGTTTGAGTATAGTTCTTCTCTCCATTCATATTTCCTAATCTACATTCACGCCACCCTCATACAAAGCAACTGCGAGTATTAAGCTATGTATGCATACATTCAAATAAATTCTCTTTATCTTCGAACTCTCAATCCGTCGGTACCAGATGAAGTCACACAATAGAGAGAAACTGTTCGATAAGACAAGGTACATCAAATTTCTCTATTGAAAAAAACAAAACAGATCATTCCCATAAACAATACAAACTATGCAAATACAAATGTCTCAAAGCCAAATAACCGGCGATCATGATAACATTTTCAGCCTTTTTCTTCCATTCAACCATTCTATTACTCTTTGTCGTTCTTGCTCTTCAATGCTATTTGAATCAAGATTAAGTGTGACGAGTGTCTGCATGAATGGTGAAGATGATGCAAAGAACGATAACAAGAGTATAATGTATTGCTATGTTGTTTGCAAGTGCATTCGTAAGATGTATTGCCCCGGAGTCACCGATTTGATTACATTTAAAATCGAGTGTAGTGAGTGTCTATGTGAAACTGAAGGTTGAACAAGCGAAAATAACTAGTAAATTGTGTATAACAGTGTTGCTTATGAGAGCTTTGGCAAGATGTTGTGCTCCTTGTTCTCCGATTTAATTAGATCCAAGTGTCAGTGTAATGAGTACCCGTGAGAAAATGAAAAATAAAAGGACGAAAATGAGTACTAAGCTCTATATTACAGAGTTATTTTGAAGGGCACGGACAACATACTGTGCCCCTTGGTCTCCGATTCCATTGCATTCAAGATCAAGAATGGTTAGTGTCTATATGAAAAGTACCTAATGAAAAGATGAAGACGAGTAATGAATAATGTACTACGGTATTGTTTTTGAGAGCATTGACAAAATGTTGTGTCTCTTGATCTTCGATTACATTAACATGAAGGTTGAGCATGATGAGTGTCTATGTGATGAATGGATATTGACAAAGCAAGGGCGAGTAGTAAATAGTGTATTACTATGTTGTTCAAGACAGCATTTGCAAGATATTGTGCTCTTGGGACTCTGATTCCATTATACCCAAGATCTAGTGTCGTGAGTGTCTGCGTGAGAAACAGAGATTAAAAAGAGGAAGACGAATAGAAAACGGTGTATTAATGTATTCTTCTTGAGAGCATTGGCAAGATATTGAGCTCCTAGAACTCCAATTTCATTATAACCAAGGTTGAGTGTCGTGAGTGTCTGCGTGAAAAGTAGAGACTGAGGACATGAAGACGAGTTGCAAACAGTATATTACCGTATTCTTTGTGAGAGCATCGGCAAGATGCTGTGCTCCTTGATCTCCGATTCGAGTACCTCGAAGTTCGAGCATTGTGAGTGTCTGTATGAACAGTGGCGATGAGCAACACGAATATGGTAGTGAATAATATATTACTCTATTTCTCGCGAGAGCGTCGGCAAGATGCTGTGCTCCTTGGTCTTCAATTCGATTAAGTCGAAGTTTAAGTGTCGTGAGTGTCTGTGAAAAGTGAAGATTGATAAGCCAAAGGTGACTAGTACATTGTATGTTACCAGGTTGTTTGTGAGAACATTGGCAAGATGTTGTACGCTTTGTTCTTCGAGTTCGTTAGAACCAAGGTAGAGTGTAGTAACTATCTAAGCGAAAAGTGGAGATCGAGAAGACTGAGATGTGTAGTAAATAGTGCATTACCGCATTGTTTATGAGAGCATTGGTAAGTTGCTCTATCATAGTGTCTCGTACTCCATGACTAATTAGGTCGAGTGTGGTGAATGTCTGTTTGAAAAGTAAACATTGAGAATAAAGGTGGCACTTTCAGTTTTTGTTTAATGATACTTCAACTTTTGTTTCCGAAAAACGAAGAAAATCTAAGTCAAGATCGTTTAATATTTGACTATTGCAGAGTTTTTGTTATCTACTGCAAATGATTAGACCAAACATTTGTATAGTATTAACTTTCATAATCCTCTATTTGCTATTTTTCCGATTTGATTTTCTATAATTTGAAATTGCTTGCTTTCTACTAGTACTTTCTATCTTGGTTCAAAACACTATTGGTCTGTATATTATCTTCCGCTCTGATAACACTTTTTGCATGGCCTCTATAAATTGTTTCTGATTATACTTCTTTTGTAAGAGAAAATTTTCAAGAATTCTTCAACTGCGAATATTGATGAATATTTTGAATGCAATTTCATGAAAAGGATAGACGATGAAGGCATGTTTTTTTTTTATCTTTTCTTTGGATCAATGCAGGAAAAAAATCTAATTTACGAAGGAAAGTAATTGATGTTATTATTTAATGATTAAGGCAAAACCGAATCTGCTTATTCATGATATATGTGATCTTAATAGTCCATGAGTATGTTCATCTTTGGAAAAGAACACAATACGATAGATCGATAAATTTTTGAGTTGTATAATAGCTATTATGATTTGTTTTTCGTCGTGTACAAAATTTGACGCAACAAAAAGAAAGATTTTTTGAATGCTGTTGTTCATAATACAAATAAGATTCGTAAGTTTTGAAATTTCTCGGTTACACGTTACTCGAGTATAAATTAAAATACATTGATTCTCCATCATTTTCAAATGAAACATTTGTACGCTCGAGCATGTTTTATGCAAATAAATAGTAAGAGTTTAGACAAAGATGAAGCTAGCATCACTAACAAAAAAATTCAGTTTAATATGAGCTTCGACATCAGACATATTATCCTTGAACTAACATTATTCTAAACCAAAATAATCATTTGTTGAACTGAATGACGTCTTGAAGATGATAGAACTCTGACTCTCTGATGAAGGTAAAATTTACCTGATATCGATGGTACCCATCAGTAATCTCATTCAGTCATATGCATACATTTCGAACTGAACATAAAATTGTTAATTCATCGAGATTGTCTAGAATGCGATAGACAAGTTCAACAGGTAATGTCAAAAGAGAACAAGGAACTCTATCAAACATGAGTATTGCTTGCTTTTGAACAGTATATTTCACTGAAATAAACGTGTATTGAAATTCATATTACTTTCTCTTGATGTGTTTATTGATAATTGTATTATCAACTTTCATTGTGACTGTGCAATATTTTTCTTATCGAGAGAACCGAAACAAGTACAATGCGACACATGCAACGACATTAGTAAAAATGTCAACATTATGATTGAATGAGTAGTTGCTTAATTTGAGTTCGAAAATGAATTAAAATTTCATTGGTACTTACATAGCTAAAGCCAAACATAAATTTTTACTTAACGGAAAGGCTAATCTAAATAAATATATTTATGTTAGAATGGCTAAAGATAAACATTATCTCAATTGTAATTATAACTGAATAACATCTACTCCAGTGTATACACAGAGACGAGAATGGGTCTTCACTTTTCAAGTGATGCTGCACATCTCCACACTGCGACACTGATTTAAAAGTTCGATCACACAGCCAAAAGTAGTTTTTTTTACAATTCTACATTGTAAGTCAGAATTTTGATTTCGTGAAGACTTTAGTGAAAGTTTTCAAACATCAATTATTACAGAAATAACGTGTTCAGCAAGACAATTATTATTGACATAAAAATTTCTCTTTGGTCATCGTGACCGTGTTAGCATGAAAAACATAGAGCTCGTAGAGTTTCATTTAACTTAGAACTCGATTTCGGGCACTGATGGACATCATTGCATCTATAGAAGCTATCTATTATACATGTGAACATAATAGAACACTAAAAATAATTTTATTTTTGAATATTTTACTTCAAAAAAATTTTGTTGGTCCTATAGATCGTTTCATTCATCTGCTAATCGAAGTAAATATTCATGATACAGTTGATTTCTATCTAATTATGTTTTACTTATCATTGAGTTCGAACAAGTAATTTGATCAAAATTATGATGTTTTTGATTAGAAAATGTTGAAGATTCTGGTGATGTAAACAGAGTGAAACTTGATGTCCAATCATCACGAAATTGACATGTTACAAACCAATGTTTTTCTTCAAGCCAAAATGATGTTCGAAATGCCGATATTATCGATTCAAAATTCTCCCAATTTGAACAATAACAAAAAATACAAAATTCAAATCGATAAAGTTGAGGTAATTTTAATCGAATAAATTCTTCCCATTGAGATAATCGTCGAACAAATTCATATGGTCTACCTGAACTAGCTAGATCAAGATGTATAATAGATGGTAGTAATGAAAGTAATAATTCAAGTTTATCCATTGTCATTTGCATATCATTTAATGTCAATGATGTTATTTGTCTGTATGATTTTGATAAGATAGTTTCATCTACTCCACTTACATAACAACTATCCATTATCAACGAATGAAGATAAGGTGAATTTTGAAGAATAGAACAGAACTGTTGAATAGTACAATTACTTATTGATAGTTTTTTGACTACGGACTGATTAGGCCATGATAGTTGATGTTTATCAGTAAGATTAAAATACAGAATAATATTTTGAAGAGTAGGTTGTGCAATAATTAGAGAAAGAAGTTGTAATGTATCATTACTATCTATTGGCATATCCGAATAGATGGCAAATGATGTTAGCATACAATTTATAGCAACATGATGTAAGATGATATTTAGATCATTGATATTAATCATATGAAGAGATAATGAATGAAGTCGAGTGAATTTATATGTCTTGAACATTGGTAGTAATAGTTCAATCCAATTTATTGTATTGTTTCTAGCCCAAAAATCTAACGAGACAACATTTTCAGGTCGAATAAGTTGACAAATATTTATCTTTGACATAGAACGTAAACATATTTTATATCGATTATATGTATTTGCAATTGTATAAAGTTTTATACAAACATTACGAAATGAAAGAAGTAATGTTTCTGAATCGAGAAAGTCGCATATTCGATAAAGAAGTTCAGGAGGTAATATGAGTAGAGAAACTTCATATTGTTCAGTCATGATTAGTATTTTATCGACTTAAACATTCCAATACATGATGTATGTAAAGTATTCGGAAAGATAGCCGTAGAAACTTTTTTGTTGATTGAAGAAAAGAATTAGACGATGAGAAAATAACTATTTCTCTTTTTACGGAACCTTGAAGAAATTTTATATTCTGCATGTTTCAGCGTTTTTTTTTGTTAAAGCACACAATCTAGCTGATTGACTGATCGGAGTAAAAACAACAGAATAGGAAAAAAAGCCTCCTATGAAAAAAATTCCATTCATAAAAATAAATTATCAACTCATTTAGCTATGGAAATAAAATCTGCACGATGTCAAAGTGTATACGCATTTTTAGTATTTTTGTCTTCAAGTTTTTTCTCAACTTTCTTTTTTAATACTCTTTACGCTCATTTTACTAAATTATTCTGTTAGTTTCTATTTTTTTTTTCTAGTAATACAACACACAAAGCCAGTGAGAGAATAACTATCGATGTTTCGTTTCGAGCTTAGGTTAAAAAGACGATAACACAAAAGTCTCTCGTTAATTATGCGACTTCTCTGATAGCATATGATGCTTTTTGTTCAATATTGAATAACTGATGAGAAAGAAATTTGTATTCCTAGTATTGTTTTTTTTTGTTTATGAAGGTCGATTTCTTCAATACTTTTCTGAAGAAAATGTTTGCAATAAGCAAGATAAATTATCTTGTATTAATAATAAACTAATGACAACGAGGAATTTAGTATTGAGCATTTATTTTATTAATTTGAAGGTTGTTTTGAACAATCAGTGTGAGCAATTTACACTCTAAAATCAAGATCACAAAATCGATAGAATGTCTGCTTATCAATCGAAATAATGACATAATTGCAAAATACGTGAAGCTGATGAAAACTTTAAGTAGACAAAAATAAAAGACCTAACTTCATTGGAAACTAATCTATTGTTAGAATATCTCAATCCATTCTTCTAATCTTTCTCATGATAGCACTGCCAACAAACAAGATCCTCAACTTCAAATCATTCGTTACATTATGAAATATTGCAAAAAATATTTATTAACCGGGTCAGTCTAGATATTTTGATAATGAGAACATAACAACATAAAGAACTTATTCGAAAAATAGTACGCTTTGTTTTTAGGGAAAAGTTTGATTCTATGAGATCGAACAAAATTGTCACATTATTGAAAAATAGACTCAAGAATGAGGATAAGAGTTAGTAGTCCTTAAAATGTTCTTATACCATTATCCTTTTGATTGTTTTAAAAATACTAAAATAAAAAGGGTGTTCATCAATTTTGTCTACTCAAAATGAAACTGATAGTTTAATTTTTGAGAAACCATTATACCATGACATCTTCACATTGTGGACATCTGATGTGGTAACTGCGTATTTTCTTCTTATCAACAAAGACAAGAAAATGATAAATCCATGAAGTACATGTAATTTTCTGTCTAATGAGACGTGAATAACAAGTGGCGAAATCGCTGATAATAAATATACTTTTGGCAGCTTCTGAATCAGTTGGCACGGAAATGTTGATATTTTTCTGTCATTTGAATGACGATTTTGATTGATTGAAGATTGTTCTTAAATGATGTTATTTTAATTTTTCGATCAAGCTGATCGTTTAGAGAAACGAACCCCTAGAGCAGAAGCTGTAACCACTAATTAGGAAACTAGATGGTACAATCCGTTAGAAATCATTGATAATATTTGTAAGAATAGTTCGTAAATATTTACGTACAGTTTATGGATTGCCACTATAAAATTTGTATTTGGATTGAACAATTCTCCCTTTGTAAACCGCAATCAATTATTCCAAATGTTCATTATTTAAGATATCCTGAATTTCATTAATACTTCACTGTCTCGTTCGTAGATCATTTTTCACGTACTTTTCTAAATATGGAACCGTATATACACAAGAGAGTTAATAGCGGACAGGTCCATAATAACATATACTTGCTGCATTACAAATGGAACTATTTGAACAAGCGAAGAGTAGGATCCAGGTAAGATAATTCTGCGATTTTGAGAAGTCTCCAAACAATGTTCTTACATACGCTAAGCTTTTTATGTCAAATACATTTGCTCTGCCGTGATAATTCTCACTAATTACTATCCTGATAGATATGTAAGTGCTGCAATTTGTTTAGCCAATTTTTACCATGACAAATTGCTGGAAAAGAAATTACTTTTTCATCCATTATGAACTTGATCATCAAAAATGACAACTGATAATATTATTTGCGAATTAAACTTATTAATATATTCGATGTACCTCCACTATACTAACGTTTTATTGTCTCAGATTTATATCACACGATTTTAGACGAGCTGAAAGTGTGTTGTATTTCTTGTCATTAAAAGAGAATAAATCTTGTTGACATCTGGAATAATAGCTCATTAATATCAATAAATTGCAAAAAAGACTATGGCATCGTGAAGTATACTTCTATGGTGAGACCTTCATTTTCATTTTTCCGTTTAGTTGATAATGGACATATATATCAAGCAATTTAGTGATCAGAAGAGTATTTTTTTTCTTCTTCTGTTGTTTAACTAGCAATCAAGCACACTTCTGAGAGTGATCGTACTCAGTGTTAGAGTAATATTCTGTATCACAGAGAGGTGCAAAAGCAAACCAAGTAATAACTTTTTGCTTTTCACAAGCCTTGACTGTTTATGATTAACATGAGAAAAGGACACAAAAGAAAACGCATTAGTACCCAGAAATAAAAAAAACGATTGCCACATCACATTCTAGGCATTACATACACAAACATATTCGTACACATGGTACATCTCCTTGTAAGGTGTATCGTAGTACTCTGATTCTTTGCTCTCATATATTACTCGAATAATTTCTTCTATCTGTGCAAGTTCACGCGTGTTTGTGCTAGAGCTTTGGCTCGAAGTAATAAACAATGATTGACACAAAATAGAATCGATACTTTTTAGTCTCAAAGATGACCGGTAGAAGCTGAGAAGAAGATGAGAGTAAAGCGCTGTTTTATTTTTCATTTAAAAAATCTACTTTATGATATATGATGCAACTGGTAGTCGAATTTGAACGAATAAAAATGCCTGATACAATAGATTGCTTCTCATATTTCACATTTTAGATATTGTCTACTTTTTTTAATCTGAACACACACTCGGTGTGAAGCAAACGACAAGAAAATAAACACCTCATCGGTCTTGTTAGTGACATGTTTATTTATATTCATTAACATGTTTTGTTTGGTTAATTTGGTATTTCTCTTCTATGTTGCTTATCAAATTTATAAGCATTTGTTTTCCATCATCTGACATCAATCCTCAAGGCAAATACGTTCTTATAACTGGTTGCGATAGTGGCTTTGGTAATGCTCTAGCTATTGAATTGGATAAACGAGATTTTAATGTATTGGCTGGTGTCTTCAGTGAAAATAGTCGAGATTTACTTGCTAACTGTTTGATTCAGTTTACGAGATGGTTCAAGAAAAACCAATGTACTTCATCCTCTGGTCAACAATGCTGGTGTCAGTGGAAATGGCCCGATTGATTGGATTACGATGAATACAATGCGCAAATTGATGGACATGAATTTTTTTGGACATGTTGCCATGACAAAAATATTTTTACCAACCCTCATTATCAAACGAGATTCACGTGTGGTAAATGTTTCGTCGATTTCTGGTTTCTTAGTAGGACCAAGTACAGCTGCATATGGTGCTTCAAAATATGCTCTTGAATCATTCTCGGATTGTCTTCGTCGTGAAATGAGTGTATCGGGTTTATGAGTCAGTATCATAGAACGATGGGGCGAAGAATTTTTCTAACATCAAGTAAAGAAATTAGGAAATAATGCAATTATGAAAATGGCTGAAAATCCAAATGAAGTAATAGAAGCACTTCAACATGCTGTCATGAATACACGTTCAAAAGTTCGTTATCGACCTGGTTGGCAATCGAGTCTTCTTTTTTTTCCACTTTCGATGTGCCCTGTCTGGTTAGTTGATTTCTTGATGGATATGGGTCATGATAAACGTGTAATTTCTGCTGATGTTCGCAAGCAACTCATAGACTAAATTATCAGAACAATAGAATTATTCATTTTAAACGTTCATATTTTATACAATCTTATAGTAGAAATACTTTGCTTGTAGACATAAACAATAAAATGATTGAAACTTTTCTGTAACGTACTAGAAGAAACGAAAGAAATTAGAATGTGTGAACAAAGAATGGATCTGAATATGAGAGTGTTGGCAAAGAAGAAGATTACATTCACAGTCATGATTTACACCCTTTTTGTAATTCAGTTTGTATCAGTCGTAACCTCATAGTTATAGAGGTATTTGAATTGTTGATTCTTCAAAGTGCAGAACAGTGTATGCCAATAGTCAAATCCCGACCGTTAAAACAAAAGTGAACATATTTCAAGTCGACTTATGAAAAAAGAGTAACAGTGTCAAGCAGATAGAGGTTATGTTAAGAGAATAAACAAATAATTTGACGTTTTCTCATCGAAAGATACTTAAAATAATAAGTTCACTTAGAGAGAAGCAAAGATATATTTCGTTGCTTCAATTACATTTTTGTTTCTCCAGTGAAACAAGCACTCTAAGACTTAATATAAATGGTTCATTTGAGTTTAGATTTGTCAACATCACATGCCAGACTCTAGAAACACAAGCTTGAACAATGGAGATATTCTTTCTCATTCTCCATACAATTTCATTTTTCGAATTAGAGAAACCAATCCATACAAGAGACACGAGGAAAACATTCCAAAAATTATTGAGTAGCGCTTTCTTCGACACTAAGTAATTTCTCTTCCATGCATTTTTCTTCTTTCTTTTTCACTTGGGCGTGGGTACCTTGATAAGGATCTTCGCTTTAATCATATCATCGTCCATACCTTCTCTTTTGAAATTCAAATGCACAAAATATACAAATGTCAATATCGATTGAAAACAGCTGGCTCTTTGTTACCAAAAGCAGTATGAATGAAGCAGATGCTTCTGTTCTCACTTAAGCAAGCAATGGTTTACGAATCTTATGTATGCAATAGACACACACTCAAGCTGATGTTCTCGCTGATTGTTCTAAGCCTTCTTTTCGTCGTCTCAACTGAAGGCGCTCATGATCTAAAGATTTATTTTGATTTGATTGATCTTAATCGTGATGGAAAAGCGACAAGTACTGAACTTGCTCTATTTTTCGAACGTTTTTACGAAGAAAAGTTCGAACCTTTCGTTTCACCATCTTCATCTATGTGTCCAAAAACAAGAGTAATGCTTGAAAATTTAATTCAAAAATACAATCGAAACTCGACACGTAACTATCTTATTATATCTGATTTGCAACGCACATTCTACGAACTTTATGGTTTGCAAAATCAAATACCTAATGCTGTGTATCACGGTCTTGATCCAGAACAAGTTCATTTATCATATACACACAATGTTTACAATCAAATGTTTATTTCATTTGTTACACGAGAGCGACCAACCTCAAATCTTCGACCTATGATCAAGTACTGTGACCAAGGATGTATTGCTACTGGTGACACAACAACATACAATGTCAATGGTTGGCACCATTGGATTCATTACATTCTGATCGATAATATTCAACCAGGAACGAAATATAGCTATCAACTTGGTTTCATAGAATCGGACAATAAGACAATTCCATACATATTTTCGAATGCAATGTGGACATTTAAAACAATGCCACGTTGGGAAAATCGACAAAGAGAGATTGTCTATATTTATGGAGATATGGGTACGTTTATGCCAATGGGAATCCAAGTGATGAAAGCGATAGTCAGTGATTTTATCAACAATACGAATGAACGAGTCGACTATGTTGTACATGTTGGAGATATTGCTTATGCTGGAACAGGAGCTAAAATCGAAATTCAACCTATCTGGGATTTGTTCATGAATCAAATTGCTCCCATTGCGAGTCAAATACCATATATGACCGCGACTGGCAACCATGAAAAATATTTCAACTATACGAGTTATCAAACACGATTTTTTATGCCTTCGAAAACAGATCCAACTCCTTTAGAAGATGATGGAAATTTCTACTTTACATTAGAAACAAATTTAGTTCAATGGATATTCATATCAACCGAACACAACTACACCACGGGTTCTTCACAACGATTGTTTCTTGAAAATGCACTCGAACAATATCGACAAAAATGGCAATTCAAACAGCGACCATGGCTGATTGTTGTTGGTCATCGACCCATGTATACATCAGATGAAGGAGCGAATGCTGGTCGATTACAAGAAGAACTCGAGCCTCTAGTGGTTAAATATGGAGTTGATCTTGCCGTTTGGGGTCATATGCATTGTTATGAACGAACAACACCGGTGAAATTCAACAATGTTACAGATCAAGAACATTTTTCACCTGACGGAAAAGTATATAGACACAATGCAACAACAGCTGATCAAACAAGTCCTATTCATTTGACTATCGGCATGTCCGGGGCTCTCATTAATGAAACATGGTTTCCGAAGCCTGAATGGTCACAAGTGAGATATGCAACGTTTGGTTTTGGCAAGCTTTATATTCACAACGAAACTCATCTGGAATTTAAAACAATTTTACTTGATCCAACTCTTGCCGATGAAGAGGATCGCTTTATGATTGTTCGTGATTTTTAATTGTATTCAAAATACTTTTGGTTGCTAAATTTCATTGGAAGTTTGTTTTTTTAATTTTTCGAACTTTCCAGTAAAATTGATGATTGCTGAATTTTAACAACCGACATTTTGTATCAATTATGAAGAACTTAGACCAGTTTGCCTTAGGTCAATTATATGAATTTTAATAGACTGCATTTCTATAATAGATACAGTCCACCTCAGTTGACTTTAATAGAGTTTCACTCAAATTGCCCTTATTCCATTCTAACGATGATCTATACATTTAAGATAACACTAATAAAATATGTTTTTATTTTTCTTGAATTGGTTAACAATCAGTAAAGAATAAGGTAAAACTGTGAAAGTGCACAATAATATGGAAATAATCCAATCGTTTATCCTATTTGATATTTAATGTCAGATCCGTTAAAATACAAAGCAGGAAATAGGCTGTGTATGTCGCTAGTTATCGTTTGATTATCAGAAAGAGTTTTTTTAGGACAAATTTTAAAATCGATAACGGTATACCGACCAGTCAGATTCGATCCTATTGAAAAGAATTGATTAGAGTTTACCCTTAGCTTGAGAGGTAATCGTTTACAACAAAAACCTGTATGAGTTGGAGAACGAATGAGTGCAGTGATCATTTTGAAAATCAATTTATTTTTTATCAGTTAGATTAGCAGATGTTAGGAGCGAGTTCTCATAACAATAGCTAATGCAAGAAAATTAGAAATAAGCAAGCATATTGTTTGTGTTTAGACAGTACATTATCGCAAATAGCATGCCGGAGGTGCACGAAGTGCAAATACATAGTAGCCATTACAGTTTGTGATCGAAATCTGGTTTGACCACTGACACATATTTCCCGGCCAGCTATAACATACAGTTCCCGAAGTTGTGGCACCTACTGATACAGGATATTCGCCCTTGTACCAACCAGTTCTCTATGTTCCGCAATGGAATGGTTCCATTGGACCAGGTGCCAGACGAGTGCCTGCAGCGCCTGAAAAACGTACCCACATCGGCTCTGGTTTAAACGTACCTTTGTTGCATCCAATGTAGTGTGGGTGAGTAGCATGGCGCGTCTGTGTCAGTAATTAGGACGTAACTCGAGCATTGAGGAGGATTAGAATTTGCCGAACCGGATGCATTCTTTGTCGTCGATGCAATCCTCGTGGTTGGGCTCAGCATTGTAGCTGTTGTTGGTTTATTGTTCGTTCCAACTAGATATTTGTAAAATTAATAAAAATAAATAATTTATGTATCCAATTCCCAAGACGAAAAATTAAATAGGCAATCTCAGAATGGGCACAAGTAAAATTTATAGATTCATTTTTTTCTGAAATATACTCGACGAAAGAAATTAAATGATGTCGATTTCGATTTTGATTTTATATACTTCGAAAGAAGAACTCGTCCGTTTTCATACAATAATGAGTTGCACAAGCTTCTCGAGTGAGGCTCTCGAAAATGAACTATGAAGCAAGCAAAAAACAAGCTCTCACTTTGAGTAACATCACTACCACTTCGAGTAGTTGTCGGCGAAGACGATGAAACCAGTGCGGTGGGATTTTGTCGAGAAGCTTTTGAAAAACAGCTGCCCGTCGTAGGTTTCTTGAACGAGATCGTATCGACTTTAGCAACAGTTAAAGATTTGCCTGAATTCGGATACTTGAGAGAAAATCCAGCACTGCTTCGACAGCCACGTGATCCAATATGGCCTGCAAGAGACATGTCACCAACGAACATATCCGGAAAGTCTTCAAGCATGCTCGTTCTATTACGCACATAATTATCATGAATACGGACAAATTAAGGATGTTTCTTAATTCCTACTTTGATAAAATTCGTTGCGATTGCCAGTTACGGCGACCCATGTCCTATAAAATCATTAATCACACATGTTGTAGAGTGAAAGCAATAGAGAAACAAAGGGATCTTACCAGGAAAATAAGGCATTTCCAGCCTTGGTTTCCTTGGGCACGTTAAATGTGAATATTTAATTCTTGCCTGCAATGTTCGAACCCAGTCGAACATCTTTAGGGCATCCACCTTGAAAGCTATGCAGAACTTTCCAAGTTTCACCACCACCATCGAAAGAAAGCGACGCTTGACAGCTACCTCCACTGTGAGCTGCGAGAGATCTCTCTCCACCCGATGTACCATGACCAAGGATTCTGAATGAGAAAATGCATCAAAAATTATGTTATGATGGCCAGACAACATCAACTATCACCGATTACACTTACTCAAATCGTGCTTGCTGGCCTGCTTGCCATGTTTCGACAGGAGTCTTGTCAACACCAGCACTTTTATGGAGTCTCTTGCACGGAAAATCGCTTCCATCTGGTCTTAACGGACTGTTATAATAGTTGCCAGGCGCTGCTAAAGGTCTTGGATGTTTTATACGTGCATCCGCTATAACTGCTGAGATAATGGAAATCAATGAAGAGACACTTGCAAAGTATATCATGTGTATTGGGAACCTATACAGTCGATGCTTTCGTACAACTGATGTCGATGTTGAGATTTTTTACTGTCAAACGACAGAATATCCTCGTCGTGAAGGGAAAAAAACGAAAACTGAAACTAACGATAAAGTGGCATAGGTGAAGTAATCATATCTCGTATTACATTTATTTTTGTTGTCATTGAATTGATGCTTTTTAAATAGTTTTCTGTGAAATTGAGCCATTTGTTAATTATTTGCCAAAATGGAAATCAATACATTCTCATCTTAAAAACAGAAGATCACTTATCCGATTCTGGAGCAGTTGCTGCAAAGATGCAAGTCTAAAGGTCATTTTTCTGTAGTAATTTTATATTACTTCGATCAACTACTACATTAATAATTGCACTCATATCAGTCACATCTTGACTCACAACCTACACCGTCAGTTAGAAAGATTGCCTCCGATATTTGATGAAACAAAAACTTGAAATACTTATTTCTATATTTTTTCTTTGTCAATCCACTACTATTTTTGTTGTCCTCTCATTATTATGATACGATCCGAAGAATGATGAAATATTCTTAAATTAGGGTATGACTGGATGGCATTTTGTCAAATGCATACTAAATAATGTTTAAAAAACTTTTCAACAGTGCTGCAAATAAAGAGATAACAAGTTTTTGAGTTTTTCATCAAGTTGTGATATTAAAATTAGAAATTAAGATAAAAGTAAATTTACTTATTCACATTAGAACTAGAGTTAATTGATCAATTGAAATTATAATTAAAGAACGTTATTAGTTATTTCGGACTAGAACTAAGAATTAAAAGTTAAATTGTTAAAATAATGCTTAATACAATGAAATATCGAATATATGAAATTGTTTGTAATAGAAAGCCATTGTTTTAATGTCTTGGCTCTTATTCATTTATTCGAACAGACCTTAGGATAAATGATTAATGACACTGATTTGGTTGTTAGATTCGATATAATATGAAACAATTGCTTCCCATAGCTATATTATATACACATTTCTCTGTTCATAACAAATACTATCGACAACATAATGAGTTACCCATAGAGTTACGTTTAACATTTACGCTGACGGATATTTTCATCGTACATATTGACAACAAATTAAGGAAATAACTAGGCAGAAAAGGAGTATTTTAGTACCAACTGTGTATTGGTAGTACATTTGTTATTGTTTATAAAAATGTCAATGGGAATAATATAAGAAATGTCTGGAATAGCTTTTATCTTGAAATAATATTCACATCTTTAGAGAAACAAAATATAGAACTTTCATTTCTCGACGTAATCGTGTATCGTAAGATTGAATCTATGAGAACGTTCGTGTATAGTACAGCAGCATATATTGGAATGAGACATAATGCAGATAAAATGTGGGTAGAGTGAGGAGCATAAATATAGAAAATTTACTGTTTAATTTTACTTGATTGTATCCTTAAAAGCACATTTATTTTTGTGCTTATGTATTGTAACAGTTCAAAGAAGGAAGAGAAAGGAAAAAAACAAAAGAAAGTCCATCTTGGAAAACATCTTGTGAAGATTCAGTGCTGAAGCAATGTATCATCTGTCAGCCATTGACATTGAATTCGGTTAGAACACACGAATTTCCTAAAAGTTTACTTGTATTATTGTTTCTTAATAGCTCCATTAATCTTGTTGTTTAAGATATGTATTCGTTAGAATGCGACTATTTAAAAGGGTGAAATTGGGTATGAATGAAGACTTTGAATTTCACACATTCCTACATGTCAAAAACTCAAGAGGCTATCACAAACAATCGAAATTTTAATCGAACGTGTGGATGTTTTTTAGTTCAGTAGAAAATGCGAGAAAAAGTTTTCAGAAACTTCATCAATTTTACTAATCAAAAAAGTTTTTGCAAATTATCGAAGTTTCCAAAATCGTACTGTAAGTAGAGTAGCTGAACTTTGGTGAGCATAGAATTGACGATTCTAAAAAAGGATAAAAATGGAAGATACGTATTGATTTCGAATTTTGAAATAAAATAGTGTTTACTAATCAGTCCAAACAAAAAAATGCCCTCTGACTAAACTCTTTTTGGTACAATGTGAAGAGGAGAAATGTGAAATTCATGAGGACATATCTTGTATAACTTCCACGAAAGATAACGACAAGAAAAGATTGAAACATATTACCTAATGGACGTTTTGTTGTACTATGTTCATGTTTTTTCAATGAGAAATGCTTGATATTTTTTCAAGCAATAAACTACTGATACGTCGAAAGGATGAGTGATATTCGTTGGTCGTTACTCTTATTTCTACGGAATATGCTTCTTATCTAAGATAAATATTAGAAAGAAATGATGTGATGTCTACAATAAAGTATAGGTGGATGGATGAAGAACAAAGATACATGAGCATTTAGGTACCTATTCAGTTGTTTCTTAAGTTAAAAGTGTGATAAAGAAAAGAATGGCATTCAGTCGTTTATCACATAGATAAAAATAAGTATATGATCGATTAGAGTTGAAATAGACATGCATTCATTGATTTTATAATAAACTGACTGCGATAAGGAAATATGACGGTACTGGTAATATGGATAATGTGTTTGCCGTCACTTCTATCTCTCGCTGTTGAAAAAAAGATAAGAAACAAAAAGCCTACGGGTAAACCGGGAGATAAAAGACAAAAGTGCAGGTTCGCAAAAAAAATGATTATAATGAAGAACATGTTGATGACAAGAGTCATCTGAAGAAAGCATATAGAGAACACATGTGGCGCGTCGATAAATATATATAGAAAATCGACTTCTCGGTAAGTGTTGGCGTCATGAGACACCATGTACCGATTGAGAGACTTTATATTAATTGCAAAGATTGTGAGCCTAACATGTTCGCAAATCAACTTATGAAGAGTTTCTTCTGATAGCAATTCCAATAAAGCTTTGACAAGGTCTTCTCTATACATACACCTACATAACTAAAATATAGATATATAGAGTGATAGAATACTTCCAATGTTTTCATAAGATGCAAATTGTTTTGTTAAAGATATGTTTTTATATTGACAATGTACTGAAATATCGAATGCAACTGTTTCTTTTAGGCGTATACATATATTTTAGATTAGTATCAGTTATGTTCAAAAAAATTACACAAACACAATTCATCTATTCACTATTTTCTTTTATTTTACTTCTTTCTTTCACATCGTTTATTATTTTTATTTGGAAAAATACAGATCCGCAAAAAGAAAATCTCAAATCATTAGTTTTCAGTATATTGAAAATTGAAAAGAATCAAACTAATCAACAGCACTACTTTAATGTTAGCAATTTCGAGAATAATTCAATCTCCTCGACATCAGCAAGACCTTTACTGTCAGAAAATAATAAACATACTTTAACTGTTACAGATTTACGATTTATTCATCATAATAAAACATTAGAAACTACGATTGAATGTGTTGGTTCATTATATAATCAATCTTGTTTGTATCATAATTTATATTATGTTGATAATTGGTTTATGATTTTAACAGTAAAAGGAAAACAGTTACCTACATATTCTGTACGAACTAATGCATTTATACTATGGCCTACAACGCCAAATAAACGTGTTTTTGATTCATATTATGATCTTGAAAAATTTGTTCGTACTACGATTGATCCAAGAATACTTCCATCTGTTACTCTTTATTTTGGTCAACCTTGGCATCATAATATTGGTCATGCACTATTCGATGGACTTTATTCAGCATATGTTGCACTTATTCGTTTTCCTCCAAGACATCTGCAACCTTTTCGCATTCTTGCTGGAGTAAGTGACTGCAAAGTATGTTGGAGTGAAGATGTTTATAGTCGTTTTGGTGGCCTTGGACTTATAAAACTAAACGTTCTAAATAATATGTCAAAAGGAAACTGGTTTATGTTTGAAGAACTTGTTATGGGTAGTGGAACATTTTGTCAACGTTGTACACAACCTAATTTACAGTTACCTGGAGGTGTTGAACTAGATGCATCAAGACTTTTTCGTGGTAGAATGTATCAACAGCATGGTCTTGTTCATCCAATTGTTCGACGAAAGTCCTCATCTGAAGGACGAACTTCTCGTGATGTTCTTCAAGCATATATTATTGACAATAAACGTTTTACAAGTAAGGATCGAAAAGAAATCAACGATGCGATCAATGCAATAAATAATTATACCAATTTATATTTAAATAAAACAATTAAATTACAATGGCCATTAGTTCGTGTATCTTATCTCTTCTATAATAAAGTAAGAGCTCATACCCTTAGTTCTATTCGAGTAAATGCGACACCAACTGATTCTCGATCACCAATATATGAACTAATTGAAAATAATTTCATAGCTCAACTAAAACTTTTACGTCAAATTGATATTCATATAGCTGGACCAGGTACTGGACAAATGTATCAAACATTTTTATCAGATGGATCTGTAACTATTAATCTTGGAGGTATAAAACCACGGGGATTAGAAAATTCAACAGAAGCATATACTTCATATCTTGAACAACATATGACAAGTGGTACACCATATATCAAAGGTCTTTATTATCCAATTAATGAACGACCTAACGGTATCAAAAAAGATGAAATTGTGAAATTAATTCGACAAGCATCACAACTAATTCTCGAAGGTTTTTCATTACCAGTGAATCCTCGAGATAATCTAGCAGCTGATGGACAACTATTTGTTGAAATGTGTGAAAAAGATAAAGAATTTTGTTCTATAGTGACAACAAGAACATCAGGTAAATACTATCCTTGTATAGATATGTGGGTAGAAGATTTTGTACATGAACACCGTCAATGGCAAGTGGAAGATTTGATCAATAATGGTCGAAATATTAGTTGTCCTTATAATCATTCATTGTTACATGAATTAAGAAAAAAATATGGAATTCTACACAAACAAACTAACAATTCATCAACAAACGTCACGCACAAATCTGTTAATTAATTGAGATAGAATAAACTTTTTTGACATCAATTTTAGTAAAACAGTTGCGATACAATACTAAGAAAATGGAAACATTCGCCTATTATCGATCATATCATTGAAGCAACAATATCTCTAAAATATTAATTCTTGTCGTCAAAAACAAATTACGATTAATTCTATATGTATGAGGCTAAAACTAAAACTTCTCGAATATGACAATCTTATGTGAAATGATACGAAAAATTTATCTTCCTACAAAACGTGAATTATTTTTATGACTTCAAATGTAAAACACAGTAACACAAAATAAATTTAACAGATAGGCTATTTGTGTGACATAAGATTTATTGATCCTATGCTTTATAAACTTTTTAATTCCGATCAAAATAAAGACACATTTATTGAGCTCAATACTTTCATCATTGTTATTTCTTTTATGCGTTCAATTCAATTTTCTTCTACTTGAAACCCCAGTATAGACGTTTTTGAATATACTTTCACACTAAGTTAAATCTTAGGATGGACTGATATGTGTGTCTGTGTTTTCAAAGGTTTGTTTAATTACATCGGGCTGGTATTTTATATTCATAGAATTACCCTTATACACCAATAAATAAAATATACCCATAGACATGACTGTTGGGTTTAGAACAAAAACCATGAATAACTTGACTTTAGAATATCTATTGAATAGTAACATAACAGTGGCGAAATAACAGAAGAATATCAAAGTGATTATTAGTATACATGAACATTGATCGAGAGATATTGTTCAAGGAACAACATAAATATCAATAGAATGTATTCTCAATTATTTTGCGTCATTGAATACTTTTTGCACATTTTTTCATTCATTTTTCATACGTAAGATCAGATGTTTATATGTGTTGTATATATAAGTATTTTTAGCAAGTACTTGATACGTGCATACAGATAGATGAAACACATTCATATGTGTATAAATTAATATTTTATTGTAGATATTTAATGTTGTGCTGAAGTAGAGAAAAGTTATATGATGATGAAAGAACGATAAAATAGAAGTAGAAGAGACAGTAAGGATGATTGTGTTACTGCATGTGAATCTTCTTCTCTTGTACAGCTGAATACAGCAGTTATACAAAATATAAAATTTTACTTAGTACAATTTTTTCATCTATTGGTAAAAGAAATGCTGTATTCTATGATAATTTGTGATAGTAGAGAAAGTTTCAGTATTTTTTTGTTGAATCTTTATTTAAGATTACAAATTTGAATTGAGAAGCATAATTATCATTAAAGATTTTGCTTTTAACTATGTAACATCAAAGAAATAAAGAAAAACTTTCGAGAAATCATGCATGTTGAACTAGAGTATTATCATCGTCAATTTTGAAAAATAACAATTCTTAATTTAAAAGATGGCAATTGAAAAAAGATATTTGTTGCATCAAACGAAAATAAATTATCTAATTAAAGAAAATAACAAAACATTCGTCAAGAATATTAATGAGAAGAACTTCTACATATGATAACTCAGTTTTATTGAAACTACAAATACAGACTGAGAAAAACTTAGAATAAACTATACTATCTTAAATTGAACATTTTATATCGATTTTCTTTGTTCGTATTTACATATATATATCATACAAAATAAGGCTGTATAAATATCATCAGAGGACTGTCTCTATATCCTTATGTGAGAAGGTTAGTTTTGAAGAGTATAAAGAAAAAAATGAGTAGCTTTCCAACAGTACATGAAGAATCATATGTGTAAATGTAGTTTACATCATATATTTATCAAAGAATTTTTCTTCATCTTGTTTGTCTTTGTCATTATCTACAATGTATACATGCGAGCAGAAATACGAGTACAAATTCTACTTGAAAAAAGCATGATACTTCACCGTGTAAAGAAGGATTTTCTTTTTTATTAAAAATTTATTTTTGTTGTAATTACTAAATTAATCTTCATACAAATAAAATTAATTTTCTCTATCGATAAAATCTGCAATCTTAATGATTAAATTTAAATTTCTTGTAACAATTATAAGTAATGAACTAATGATTTTTTAATTATTTATTAAAGATTTCATTTATTTTACTCATCAAAAATTATGTTCCCTTAGAACACTATCATAATGATTAAGATAAATTCAGTTCATTTCATATGAATTTACTTTGTATAGGTAACTGTTAGATTGAGATCTGTCTAATCCATCAATTGAATTAACCATCCCATAAAGTCAGCGGAGTTTTATAATGCTTGATCAATGTACTGTTATTGACAAAAGTACCCGTTAACCAAGACCAACACTACTGAATTCTAGAAATCATTTTTATTTTTCTCAATTTATATCAAACGAAAGAAAAAAAAACCAAAATACATCTAATCTTGATATAAACTACTAAATATTTAAGAAGAATTTTGGCATGATGCAAGTTTTTAGTAAATCTCTAAATAAATATGATCAGATTGGAAAATCGCTACATAGTTGAAGCTAACATGCTCATAATTATTCAAAGAAAATTTTCAAATAATCGATCAAACAGAACTGTCTTTCTCTGTAGCAGTTATTTGTCGATCATTAATTGATTTGTGTACTGAGCATTTCAATTTAACACAAGAAAAAAAATCTGATTGTGAACTTTACCGTTGTGATCATGGTATAGATTAATTTTTAATTCGAATTTTTATACACTTACTCTGATTTTTATTACTAAACAAATTTTTGTTATATACTTTCAAGCAGGGTTTTAATGAATAAAGATTAATTGAACTTATAATTATCTTTAAATGCTAAACTGCACTAATTAAGATCTCTATATCCATATTACAATTAAAGTCTTTATAGAATAATTGTTATTCTATCTGAAAATGTAACCGAAATGTTAGAGTTTTGTAAAATATTCTTGATAAAATATTTAATACCAATGTATTCACTGTATATGGCAATATTTTCTTTGATTAAATCAAATTGATACTGTAATAGCAAATTTATTTTTATTATTTAATAACGGAAAAAAAAAATGCGAAAAAAATTGATTGTTAAAATAATGAGAACTTTTTAAAAAATATCTAAACTGTTCTTGATTAATTGAAAGATTTGAAAAGATCTGTATTAATATTCAAAAACATCTGCAAAATCTAGCTCTTCAACATTATAAATATTATTCATGACTATTGAATGATTTTCTATATGTTGATGAAATGCTTGTCGCAATGTATCTTCACCTGTTAAAACTAATGAGATAGCATTCGTAAGTTTAATTGCAGCATGTTCTAATAGTGCGTAATCACCACCTAAAATTATAAAACAACATTTTAATATAAATATTTCAGAAAACAAAACAATTCTTTTATACCAGTATTATGAGCTAATTTACAACAAAAATTCCAAGTTTCGAAATTCAATATTCCATTAATAATCAAAAATAAAGTGACATCTAATCGATTAAATTCATTTGATATTTCTATAGGATCACCATCAAAATTAAAATCATTCGGGATAAGAATGATTGCTAACTTTTCATGAAATCCTCCATTGATAATCTTTTTTTAAAAAAAAAAGATAGAAAAATAAAATGCTTAGTTAAAGATAATTTCACTTACATTTGCATGTTGAAAATAATTAACAACCGATTGTAAAAAATTACCTCAAATGAATAAAAAAAAAATATTTGTGTGAATCATTTTGAAATCATTCGATAGAAAAATTTTCTTGCTTCTTACAATCTCAATATTTATCCTGAGTCAGATATATATAACATTTTCTATGCTTCAGTTGTATAACATAAAATTTTATCTTTTCGAAACTAGCTTATCAACAGACATGATGAAGGTTAAGAAAAAAGAAAAAGACTAATCATTTATACTAACACCAAAAACATTTTATACATAATGGTGATTTGATTTTCAATTATTATTGTGGATATCTTTTGCTTTCTAATATATATTTATACATACACGTTAATCGAAATGTATCTAATTCGATTGATGTAAGAAAAAGAATAACAAATTCTATTTAGTAACTATAGAAGTTTGTTCTTAAAAAATGCGTAATCCATCTCTTGATTTTCGTCTTTGTCAGTTTTAATCCGTAAATAATCATCTGTGAATAATGAATTGTATTTACTTTGATCAGGCACAAAAAATACACAAAGAATTTGAACAGCCATTGAGATAAATTGATCAATAATGATGTATATATGTAAACGAAAAATCGAATAATATGATCTAATGTGTATTTATACCGTATATTAAAAATATAAGAAATAAAAAGTCAAAGACAGAACGCATACAATAAAAAAGAAAGAAAAATTTGTTATTTTACAATATGCAACAAGCTTCCCATCCATACTAACTATCACATTCATGATAGCCTGTACAACTTAATAGCCTTTTTCTTTGATAGAGGTTTAGTCATTCGTCTTCTTTATGTTTCTTCCAATACACATATCTTTACCTTTATTTTGTTCTCTATATGATACATTTATATATTTTTCTCTTAATGCTTCTTGTGACAATCTTTTTATTTAAATTTCCTTTCTTTTCTTCAACGTCCTTCTCCTATGTAAACTCTATCTGATGCTACTAGACTTTGTTTTTTTTTTTTTTGTGCATTTATTCTAATCGTCAATAAAGGTATAGCGAGTATAGTAGTTATTTACCTTGACAAAAAAAAAAGAATATTCTGGAAAATGATTATATTTCTCTAAAATACAATCATCTATCAATACAATAAACAATTGTGTTTTAAGTTGTATGATAATAACTATCTTGTGTCAAAAGAGAAATGGTAACTAATCATTTATTATAACAAACGATTAACATTCACATTATCTATGTAATAAAATATATATCATATGACAAATAATTCGTTTAATTTTTCGTGTCGTATTCTTTTTTTGATCTCAAGAGTGAGATTATATAAAATACAGAGCGAAGAAGGTGTGGCTGTTTTTTTTTTTTTTATCTTGCTCTTATATTTAACAGGAAGAAAAATAACGACGTATGCTAGTTATTTTTACCGCATGTGGTTTTTTTTTTTTTCTTCCATCGTCAAATAAATATTCTTCTGTAATAAAATATAAATTAAGTCTTATGAAAATAATTAGATAGTTGTCTATTATTGTTTTATAATCTACTAAAAAAAAAAATAAGAGATAAAAAAAAAACTATATTTCTCTTTGCCATTAAGATAGAGAACCATAATGCAATAGAGACACCTTGTTATTCTGTATTCTTTCTTTCGATTCTATGCTGCTGGTACTGATTGTTACAGACAAAGTTATGACTCATTTCTTTTCTCTTATTCATTTTTACATGTGTATTAACTTGCACAATGATATGCAAATAATGTTTTTCTCGTACAACACTTGTCATCAGCATACCTTAGCCATCTTTTTATTATATATAATTATATAATTTATCAATAAAAAAAACAGTTTGTTGCCTTGTAATTCAAAAGCCACGCGAGAGTATTAAAATTGAGGCAGATGTGTGTGTGTATGAGAATATCACTCATAGAAGTTGAAAAAAAAAACTTAAAAACAAAATGTTAGTTTTATTGGATAATAATGAATAAATTTCAATTATTATGGAGTGTACACTTTTGATACTTGCTCTATCTCTGCTGTAACAATCACAACCGAATAAAAATATGAATGAATAGATTTAAGATAGTTTGCAGAAAGAATCTCATAAGTAATAAGCTGTAAAAAGAAACTAGATGATATTCGAGTGTTACTCAACTGTTGCTTTTCGAAAAGATTAATAGATTTCATCGGGAGAAAAAAAAACAAATAATCTGTGCTGCGATTGATGACAAAACGCGTTTGTCCAAAAAATTTTTACCTTTTATTGGAATTAACTCTTTTTCTGCCATCATGAATTCAATAATTCAAGTAGACTAAGTTCATGAAAATTTGCTTTTTTTGGATGTTATGAATAAATAAACGAAACGTCCTTGAGAAGATTGGGAAAAAAAACAAATAATGCCAGTTGATATGAATACCTTCATATTACCACTTGAAGGATTATTTACTCTGCTCTTTCTATTCTCGCTACCGTTGGGATAAAGAATGCCAACTATTATGTGTAGGTCGAGAAAGGAAAGAAAACATTCATGCTGCACTCAGTGGCGTACGCAGAATTTTTTCAAGGGGGGGCCCCAACTTCGTAGGGGGGGCCGGCCATGGCACAAAAAATTTTTTATCACGTGAAAATATTTTCTCCTGTACCCCCCTCCAGGACTTTTTCGTCTCAAGGGGGGGCCCGGGCCCCCTCGGCCCCCCCTGCGCACGCCACTGGCTGCACTTCATATCACATTTAAAAAAAGCAATATAATGAATTGTCATGTCGAAAACAAACTTGACGCCTACTTTATTATTGCTCTCTTTCGATAAAAAAAAGAAAAATTAAATGAATAAATAATATATATTTTGTGTAATTGGTATTCTGTTTTTTTTTTTTTCAAAACAAACGATTTGGATTAATATTTGATGTGATAAGAAATAATTAGGAAATGATCAGTAAAATAATTAATCGATTGAAACAAGTTATCTATTAGTATTGTAAATCATATTATGATATGAAATTAATTATATAAATATTGATACAACATCTTCTTTTTTAAACAGAACATTTTTGTTTTTTATAAGAAACTTTCCTAAATTGATTTATTCATATCGAACAACAAGATTAGAAGTAAAAAATAAACGAACAAATGATATAATAAGCATAGACAAACATCATATCAATAGCCGTTTACATATAACCTTTTAAATAGACTTATTCTGATTTTAGTTATATGTTCTTAATTTAGTTTTCATTATAATAATTACATAAAATTAAGGCATAACATATTTGAAAACATCTATCATCATTGGCATCTAATATTTAAAGAGAAAATTATATGGAATATTCATGACTAAATTTTAATAGATGTATAATGTCTTCTACTTTAGTTAGGGTTTCAAAGATTTATTATCACAAATAAGAGTATGATTATTTAATTATACGAATGAATGATGGAAATTTAATGCTTTTCACTACATTTGATTTCAAATAAAATCGATTATTTTATTATATTGAGATATAAATTAATAGAGTTTGAAATAAAAATAAAATATTTTGTATACAAAGATAAATTTATCAATAAATATATTTTGAAAAAATAGTATGTTACTTTATCTGATATTGAATTATGAGAAATGACACAAGGAAATACATATAAGACTGAATAGTTATCGTATCATTTTTCTATTAAATAATAAAAATCTATTGAATATAGAAAGCAGAGTAATCATGTCAAAAGATGAGTACATTTTCTGAATATAAAATTCTTTCATGTAGACTTCTACAGTTTGATTTATAAAAAAAACTTACTTATTCGTAGAAAAATGATATATTTCATAGCAATAGTATGCATAAAAATAAAAAATTCGGATTCTTTTGTTTTCTTTTCAAACATCAAGGAGAACATCTAAGACACTGATATGCGCCAAGATTTAAAGAAGATAGAATAATTTTGAGCTTCTTTTCAAGATAGACAATCAAATATGTTCACTTGTTAGAAAGCATTACGTAAAAAGCAGGACTGAAATTCTTCTATGGGCGCGAAATTATGTTTTTTAAGAAGCTCGTCTCTCATTTTCAATGTCAGCACATATAGATAAAATAAAAGATTTCTTCTTCCAGAAACTAAAGAGGTTCATAGAAAACAATAGTGTTTAATTCTAACGAAGGAACCACCCGAGGTGTCAAAAAGCTTTTGAGCTGAAATTTTGCCCACATGTAGGGGATACATAGACTAGAAAAAGTCTAAAAGGATATGGGCCCAAGTTGGGATTTAACTGAAATATTGACTATTTACCATAATTTTCCTATAGTACCCTACTTGTCCGATAAAACCAAAGTTTTGAATTTAGGCCTGAAACTTTGTCCACATCAAGACTCCAATCAGACAAGCTCGCCTACAGAGTTTCAGAACTCTTGGATAGACTATCTCCGAGATATGAATCTGTCAAAATATCTATGTGAAACATTATATCCATAAAAAAGCGTCTTTATGCTAACATACAAGTATCTCGGCGATAGTCTATCCCAGAGTTCTGAAACTTTGTAGACAAGCTTGTCTGATTGAGGCCTTGATGTGGACAAAGTTTCAGGCCTAAATTCAAAACTTTGATTTTATCGGACAAGTAGGATCCTATAGGAAAATTATGGTAAATAGTCTATATCTCAGTCAAATCCCAATTTGGGCCCATATCCTTTTAGGCTTTTTCTAGTCTATGTATCCCCTACTTGTGGGAAAAATTTCAGCTCAAAAGCTTTTTGACACGTCGGGTGGTTCCCTCGTAAGAAGCTATACTGATACACAAAGATATCAAAAGAAAAAAACAAGTTGCTAAATTGTTATAGAATCGACTAAATTTTCGCCAATTGAAGAGGCATTTCTATGGATTAACTCAGATCTGTCCGACAGAAGGTTGTCGTTTTGTTTTCATGTTTGATAAAAACTAAATTGTCTTCAATAGTACATCGTTCTTTTTTATGTATTTTTTTGACTGCTTCTAATAATAATGAAGATGGCAAATTTTTCTCACTGTTTAGAGTATGTTTCTCACTTTTGCACAAAATATGTATTGAATTTTAACAAATAGTCAAAAGAGATTTATATGAATCCAATTGAAATGTTGACAATATTTCTTGTTCTAAATTGAAAAAAAACGAGTAAACATTATCAGAATTAATAATATAATATGCATAAAATTTCTTCTATTTTATGTATAACTTTCATGATTTTGAAAAAATTAAAACAACAAAATGACACAAACTTTTATTTAATAATAACAATATCTAATAGATTATAACATATTTAGATCATTTGATTTTCTTCAAATTAATGTAAATGAAAGTTAATTTTTTAGTATAAAAAAAAAAACAAAACATCCTTTGACACTCATAATCGCACATAGTTTGCAAAACAACTTTCATAAAGAACATGAAAATCAATGTGTTTTCAAGTCAACTTGTTAGACATGTCACTCTAAATTTAGATTTATTACATAAAATATTGTTGATATATATCTCTATTAATTATAAGTCATATGTTTTTTTTTTCTTCTTTCTTTTCTATACATTTTCTTACCTTTCATCAAATATGTAAAACGTTATTTTGTTAGGTTAGAAAATAATAATAAAAAACAAATAAATAAATAAAGGTAAATACTAATGAATATAGATGCTCAGTGACTATACTTCATATTGTTGAAAGAAAAAATTACGAATATATATATCTTTTTGATTTCGATTCAATCTCCTGTTTTAATGATAAAAATTATGAAAATTTTTGTTTATTTATATTTCGAATAAATAGTCTTGAAATAATTCATGTCGAATATAAATAGTTTCAACATATTTGTGAGTATTTTTTTTTTATAAACTTATTTAATTTTTTTGAATAATAGATTAAAACAAGTGTTTTATTGTTTTATTCGAATTGTGAGTTTGAAAAGTATTTGTTTTAGATTCTATTTTATTGTTAAAAAAAAAATTCAATTTTTTTTTGCACTTAGTAGCAAAATCACATAAAAAACTGAAAAATTTCGTTTTTATTATGGTTCAGTTATAATGCGAACTATTCAGAATAAACATTATAAAACTACATCAAATTATGTAGATTTTAGAAATTTTATTTTTCTAAGCTAATACGGCCTCTGAGTATTGAAAAAGCTATCAAATGAGAATAAAATTTTCAATTTTCTTAATAATAATAAAAAAAACGTAAACAAGTATTTTTCAAGCTCACAAATTCGAATGAGATAAAACACTTACTTTAATGTATTGTTCAAGAAAACTAAATAAGTTTATAAAAATACTCACAAATATGTTGAAACTATTCATATTCGACATGAATTATTTCAAGACTATTTATTCGAAATATAAATAAATAAAATTTTTCTATTCACTTTTTTTTTATACTATCATAAAGTTGAAAACAAATAATATATTATTGAAATTTTTAGAATTTCTGCAAAAGAAAAAAAGAAAGTTCATTAATTGTCAGTCATTCGACTTTTTCACAATAATCGAATCGAGATAAAATCTATATATTCGTGAATAAATGATCAAAATCTATAAGTCACATATAAATAAACAAGAAAAAAAAAAAAATTAAAACTCGAAAACTTTCCTTTCGTTGCATATATTAATCATTCTCTATATATGCAATGCTGCTACTCTTCACAATTGATACGCTTGATTACCTATTCTCCTATTTCTACATCAGTTATTGATTTAAACATGTTTATGTAGCGACTTCAGATCGTATCGTGATGCGAATTGATTAAGAAAAAAAAAAAAGGTAAAGATCGTTATCTTACCAGCATCTTTGTAATCAATTTTATCACATAGACTATCTAACTTTGTTGAATAAGTATGACTCTATTTAATTGATCAATATTCAAATAAGTTCTAGAAGTTACATTAGAATAATTACTTGTAGATTGCTTTTAAGATTTGAAGGAAGATATTGAAAAAATGTTATTTCAATGACTCTTGACAGATCTCAGAAACAAAAAAAAAATCTAATATTTCATTTCATGATCAAACTTTTTTTTTTGTTTTAACCATTTACAATTGTTCTATTTTTTGACATTAGCTCGTACAAACTTCTAGAGTCTTCTAATTTACAAGATGAAGTATTTGTAAAAGTGATATTATCACTTCTAGCCTTAATAGTTGAATCATTCAATTAAAGATAGTTTTCGACTTCTCGAAAAGCAAAAAAAGTTATCATTTCCGAATATAAATAAAAAATGTCGTCCATTTGAATCACATATTAAGTACATTGAGTATAGTTCATACATTTGATTTTGAATTTTTATTTTATTTGAACTATTCCTTATTTTTATAACCATCAAGCAAATAAATTATAGATGTGATCAAAATTATGCATTGACTAATCGTCAATATCAATGCTGGAGTGACAATGTATCAAATCAATGCCTTTCATCACATGAAAAAAACAAAATTATCAATGATGCAATTGATGGTCATTAAACTGATATTTGTGTTCTAACATTCATTATATTTGTTACTAATATTGAAAAACTTTATGAAAGAATTAATTATGAGTTTTTCATTTGTTCTTCAACAATTGATTGATGGTATTCGAAAATATTTTAGAAAAATCAAATTCAAAGAAGAATTTCAATTTTTATATTGTACATAAACAAGCACTCATTTTAGTTTATGGATATTTTTATTTGTCGCCCAGATCATCATCACTTTGTAATCTATTTAGATAAATATATTTGATTTCTGCTCCAATGATTATACTCAAAGTATACACAATATTTTACGTTGGTTTATATTGAACATTAAAAATGTATCCTTATCACTTCTACTACATGACGCCTAATTATGACTGATTATTAAAACTATTGATATAAGAATACTTAAGTAAAAAAATGAAATATTATAAACTCTTTGGAGCTACTATTTTCAAGCACTTAAGAAATGCAAAACAAGTATGGATTGTATACTTATCGACTTTGTTAGATACGAATACGAACGCCGTTCAATGATGACTTGGATTTTTTTCAAATAATAGCAAGTGATCATCTCTTAATGACATAGTTGATAATAGCAAAAATGCGATTCAATAAATTACACTCTTCCTCGAAAGAGAATTAAATCTGTTTTTTTTTATTAATGATTTTAGATTTAGTCTGAATAGAAAATGGTTGAAAAAGATATTTGGAATTATCAGCAGCTATTTTTATAAAGTTTGTGTATTAAAGCTATTCAAATGAAAAAAATCAATATTTCGATTATAACAAATTAGTTGAAGCATATTTTCACATGTTTGATTATGCATCCAATTAAAGATTTTATCAGAAATCATATCAATACATCAAACTATGTTCTCTCGTCACCATATATATATATATATGTATCCATACATCACTATATTGCCTTCCGAAATACTGAAAATAGTTACTATCGTCTCGTTTTCTTCGACTTTTAGACTGTTCAGCATAATTGCAACAGCCATAACTAAGTGCAGGTATGATTATCTAATTGACCATGAGTGCATTGATATTGACATGGCTATCGGTTTGTATTTTGGTGTGTATGTTCTTGAAAAGCTGTGAAAGTTGATGATTGCATATGTCTTCTTTACATTCAGGCTAATTTAAACGTAAAAAGGTGTCCCTTATTAAAAGATGATCTTGAACCATTCATTTCGAAAAATTTTTGGTTCATGAACATCGTATTATATCGATTGAAGGTTAATAAATTATTGAATTAATCATTGCACTACAGTACAATAGAAAAAATGATATTTAAAGTATTTTTGAAAATTTAGTTAAAGAGTTTTCATTGATTTCATTGTCTTTTCCATAAACAAACATATCTATTTTTTCAGATTTTTCCAAATCATGTTGAAAATAATTAGAAAAACAAGATCCATCTATCCAAAACTTCGTTCCCTACTACTTCTTACTCTCACAATTGTTATGATGTTTATGTGGCGAACTTTGATACGACAAGGACAAAATATGAAGCCACCAATACCATATGTATTGAAGGTTGAAAAGAATCAAAATAATAAACAACACTACCGAGATGCTAGTAGTGTTCGCAACAATTTGATAGATACAACATTAGAAAAATCATCTCGATTAGAAATTATTAAACATACTTTGACTTTTACAGATTCAAAATTCATTCATCATAATAAAACATTAGAAACTACGATTGAATGTGTTGGTTCATTATATAA